AAAAAAAAAAAACAAAGATTAACAAAAAGATCAACAACAGTACTAAAAAAGAATTGGCTCATTTTTATGTACCTCTATTTAGCCAACATTTTTATTCAAAACTGGCTAAATTTAAAAGCCTGGTGAGTTCCACATACCCAGACGCAAAACAAAAATTTTTAGGTACTTATACAAATTTCTGCCCTACTAAATGAAAAAAATAATTAACGCCCAAAAAGTTCACCTTTTTTTTCTGTTTAGTCTGCTTCAAAACGTTCTGATTTTTTCTCTTTTTCGAGTCAGTTATTTCCTTCCCAACAAAATCTTCTAAATGGAAATTTTTCGTCGGTTTCCATCGTTTTTTGGGGGAGCTCCGTGGTTCTGCGACCGTTGAAGCGTTAAGCTGCTCCACAACACTTTCTAAGAGAATTCCCTCATCCGTAGCTACCGCCTCATCAGTCATAATAATCGGTAAACTTCGTCTACATTTACTTGCAGTCTGCTAAAATCTTTTGATTGTTATTAAATATTTTAGAGCTAAGAACAAAAACCCTCCTTGGAATTCCACGTTACAAAGAATCACACGGAGTATAATCACACAATGACTGGCAGTAAAAGGATTCAGAAAAAAAAATACCTTGAAAGTGCTCAAGGAATGGTGTTAAAAGTCACTTTAGAAACGTCAAAATTTAAGTGTCAATTTTCTTCCTTGTAATAAAAATTGATTACTTCCTTATAGATATGAACTAAAAAAAAATTTTCGCCGCATGCGTCATAAAAAAGTTGGACTTCGAAAAAAGTATTCCTACGCCATAGCATTTTAGGCACTCGAGTAGTTCATTATTCTATATATGCGCCATGCGGATCAGCTGTGGGTCTGTGGCTAGCATGAGTAGAAAAAAGGAAGAATAGAAGGGACTGGACAACACTATACGGTAGGCAGCTTTCCATGACCATATCTGCTTTGCCTAAATTCAGATTTTTTGCGCTGGAACTTGACCTACACTACTCCCCGTGCCGTCCAGAGATCAACCAGAAACCAAGACAAATGGAAACAGACTGACCCACCTATCACCTGTTAAATATACTTTACTCCTGATACAGTTAGCAGACAGTATAAAGCCTCTTTTATGGATTAAATTATAAAGCCGACACCAATCACCTTCATTATCTCAGCCGTTAGTACCGCGCTCGAGTTCCCCGAGTGAATGTGCTACCGACAAATCGCACGCCCAGAGAACAGCAATCATCCAAGAAGATTAAGGTTTATCAAAGGCCGTAAAACAACCCACCTCAACCTAATTTCCAGAAAAACTTATACAACCACGACAGAAAACTTCTTACAATTATACCCATTCAAGCAATAACGCACTCAGTTTTTATCAAGAATTAGCCATCTCGTTTAAGGACCATAATTTTTCAAAAAACCCAGCAATCAAGCTAAAGGACAACAGTTTATTCCCTAACCAGCGTGCACACACCCTCTACGGTCATAATAAGCGACAAAATCACCAAGAATAAAGCAACCCACGCAAAACTGGATTGCTACGAAGCAGTAAAAGAAGAAATCAAACCACCCATTAATTCATGTGAACCTTTAAGCTTTAGCAGCAGAAAAGACATTTTGACAGGGCAACTGCACTCAGGGAGCTAGAGGAGGAAGAAACAGCACCAGTCAAACTCCAAAAAACTCTTTAGGGAATTTTCATGGCTTTAACCATCTGAAGTAAAAGCATAAACCAAGAGTCAAATGATTCCTATCAAGGAGAAAACAATAAAACAAGAGTAGCAAAGTAACAACTTCCAAAAACACCGCAATTTTCCTCCCCTTCCTCCGCTTATGTACCAACACTGCCACATTTGCAGCAAAATGAAATTTCAAAAGAAATTCAGCGATATCAGGCAAAACACTTTACACTAAAAAATAAAAAAACAAGCTTGACAATTAGTGTTAGTAATGTTTCCTACCCAGAACAGATTTCAGAAAAGATTGATTAAAAACGAAGCAGAAACATGAATAAACTCTTTGTGCGGACTACAGCATAACTAAAGACAAAAAAGCACTTAATTGGGCGAGAAACTGAATGACCAACAACTTAAACTCAACCTTTCCAAACGTCAGCCCTTCTAAAGTTCCAACTCCAAAATCAAAAAAAAAAAAAAATGACTAGTAGAGATGATAATACCTCAGTGAACCAAAACAAAAAGTAAATAGGTTAAAAAAAGAGAAGTGAAAAAAGAAGCAGGGAAACATGTGCACCACTTCAACAATGAAGCATATATTAATAATATTATTGCAAATTACAGAAGAAACTCCCACTCAAATGCATTAGACAAGCAATGAACAGGAAGGAACGTTCGAATCATATGCTGCTTAATATTTGGAAAGACCATA